TGAAATGAGCATCAAAATTATAACAAAAGTATACAACTTGGCAGCGGTTTTTATAATTTGTTTAATTTATTTATTTTATGTGCTTGGAAAATTACAGTTCAATGGTTGCAGTTAAAAAAATTATTTTATAATTATATAACCGCATTACTTTTTCTATTATCAAACAAATATTTACTTGAATCAAATAATTTTAATTAAATTGAAAATTTTATTTAAATCAATTAAATGGTTTTTGTTTCAAAAACAGAAATTATCAGTACAAATACAATTTAGTTGATTCAAGAAAATATTGATTTGACAATAAAAGAATAATCGGTTTTTTGAATAAAATAATTTTTTTTCAGTGTTGTAACTTTATATTATAATTATAAATATAATATTATAATTATATTAAAATTACTTTAATTACTAATTGCTTATTACTAATTACTAATTTATTGTTATAATTACTAAATTACTAATTGATTGACAACTAATTAACAATAACAATTCTCAGAAAATTGACAAAATAGATTTAGAACTACCTATGTAAAAATTTTAAATCTACAGAGATGCATTTTTATAAATGCCAAGAATTTAATTCCTCACGAGAATTCTCTACTATGTTGACAGTTGCCAACTACTAAATTCAAAGCTTTCCAACGGTTACATATTACGTATATTTCATATTTTCTTTGATTGACGTCCTTCAAATTGAGTTTTGTTTGACGTAAAATTGAAAATAAAAAAAAATAGTAAAAAAAATGTCTATATTTAATAAATAAGAGATAAATAAATTTTTTTATTTAAGTGATTTATTTATAAATGATTAATCTATAATTTGGAAAATTGTCCTATTCTGTATTTTCAGAATATTCTCTCTACTTAAAATATATATATGTATAGTGTTGCATAGTTTTGATTAATTGAAGCGTGCAAACCAAATTTCGCAATAAAGCAACACACGTTTACATCAACACTCATGAGAAGTTTGAAATATATATATGTATATATTTGTCCCAAAGGGTTTTACATTATTTATTAAGCATTTGCGTGGCTTTTTCTATATACTTTGTACATATCGTAATATTGACAAGAAATTCTATTACAAAAATATTATTTTTTTAATTTCTTTAAAAAAGTAATTTTTTAAATACTTTCTAAATTTGAATCAGTTAAAAATAATTAATTTAGAAGCAAAAAGTCAGTCACTACTTGAAATATTAATATTTTTCTACTGGTAATTTAGTTAGAAAAATAACTGACGTTTTAGTCGAGGTTTTTAAACTTATTCAATTAGTCAAGTTAAACTAATTTAATAACTTCGAAAAAATAATAATTTTTCAGTAATTTCTTTACTGAAAATTATAGTCATTTTTTCACTGCCAATTTTTAACTGATTCGAAAGTATAAAGTCAATCACTGATTGACAGATAAAACTATGATTAAATTTAGAGAGAAGAGTCTAGGAATTGTCTTATTACAACAAATATTATTTATTACAATTTTAACAATAATAATAATAATAATAATAATAATAAATAATGAATATTATTAATCTTATTAAAAATAGTAATAAGATTATTAATAATAATGATTAATATTGTTATTATTGTAATTATATAATAAATTATAATATTTTATCGAAATTATTTGAATTAGTAAAAAATAGTTTCTAATTTAAATTAGTGACTGACTTTTTGTTTTAAAATTAGTAAATTTTACTAACAAATAGTAATTTCTACTCATCTGTGAGTATACGGAATAGTATACGGAATACGGAATGAAATTTTTTAAAAATGTGATTTTTGCATTCTTGAGGTTAAATAACATAAAGATATGTCAAAAAATCGAATTTGAAAAACTTTTTGTATATTACAATACTTCCTCATGAGGAAGCAATAATAAATATGTGACGCGCTCTGAAGAAAGTTAACTAAAAAGCAAAAAGTCTTTGGTTATATTTGCAATTTTTTTAATAAAAATTCACAATAAGGATCAACTTTCTCAATATAAACCACTGATGTTAAAGCTTTCATTACAACTAAGATAATTATTAAAAGCTTATTTTAGTTTAACACTGTTAAAGGGAAACTTTTAATTAAGGTAAAACTATTATTTTTATTATTATTATTATTATTATTATTATTATTATTATTATTATTATTATTATTATTATTATTATTATTATTATTATCATTATTATTATTATTATTATTATTATTATTATTATTATTATTATTATTATTATTATGTTTATTATTATTATTAACATCAGTTTTATAAAAATAACATGCTATATTTTTAAATAAAATTAGCAATTCTAAGAATAATAGAATTAAAAATTTTTTAATTAAAATTATTAGTTGTAAACACTAAAAAAATTCAATTTTAGAAAAATTATAAATAATTGCAGAAATTCAATTATTTTCAAAAGTAATAAAATTCTTCTCATAACATTCAATTATGTTAAAATTTTTTTAAAAATTCTTGTCAAAATCGCAATTATCTTTATAAATTAATAACAAAATTCTTCCTCAAAGTTCAATTATTTTCAAAAATGTCAATAAAATTCTTGTCCTAATATCAATTATTTTAAAAAATTTTTCTCATTTCAATGATTTTCAATAGGTATCTACTATTTTAATAAAATTTCCCAAAAAGAATTCAGATATTAAAAAAATTTTGTAATAAACTCGATAAAATTATACGCAAACATTTAATTATTTTCATAATAAAAATTCCACAGGAATTCAATTATTTACAAAGTTTTTATAACATTCTAAAATTCTAAATATCTAAAATATAATTGAATTTTTATAACATTCTAGAATTCTAAATAGGTATCTAAAATATAATTGAAAATTCTAGAAAATAATAATTGAATTGAAAAGATGCAAAATAATTTTAAAGAAATTTCAGTAACAATATTCTTAGAATATAAAATTATAGAATTTTCATAATATTTATTATATTTCGAAAAAATTAATTATTTAAAACAATGTTCATAAAATTCTTATGAAGAATTCAATTACTTTTAAAAATAATAAAATTCATAGCAGGATTTCAATTATTTTTAAGAATTATAATACAATTCCTAGCAACTATTCAATTATTTTCATAAATAATAAAATTCATAGCAGAATTTCAATTATTTTTAATACAATTTCACAGGAATTGCTTAAAAAATGTAATTCTATTCTTAAAAACTTAATTTCAATTTCTCGAAAAAATCAATTATTTAAAAAAATGTTTTTTTAATACTTTTTGGAAGGATTGAATAATTATTTTCAAAAATTTAATAAAATTGTTCAAAGGAAATTAATTGTTTTAAATACAATTTTAATTAAATTTTTTTTTAAAATATTTAAATTATTTTTTTTAATTTTAATTAAATTTTTTCTAATAATTCAATTATTTACACAAATAATTTTTCGAATGAATTCAATTATGTCGATAAATAAGAAAATTACTCCCGAAAAATTCAATTATTCTGAGGTATTTTAATAAAATTCTTTTCAAAATTCTATTATTTTCATAAATAACAATAATTCATGACAATAATTCAATTTTAAAAGTAATAATTTTTTTCTTGGAAATTCCATTATTTTAAAAAATTCTAATAAATCGTTCGCAAAAATTCTTTTTTTTTTAGAAAAATTTAATAAAATTTCCCACAGACATTCAATTACATATTGCCAAATTTTTTAATAGAATTCTTTGTAAAATTTAATTATATCTTTAAAAACTTTTCGCAATTCAATGATTTTCAATATCTACTATTTTCATAAAACTTCCAAACAGAATACAATTATTTAAAAAATGGTTTGTCATTCATTATTTAAATTAGAATTTCCATAAAATTATTCGAAAGAAATGAATTATTTAAAAATTTTTTATAAATATATTTTGAATTCTTTCATGAATATTAAAATTCGTTGCAGGATATCAATTTATTAGCAGGATAAGAAAAAAGTAAATATTTTTGATGAAAATTTGGAAAAAGTCAGGAAAATAAAAAATATGGAATGGAATTTTTGTCAATTTTGTGAAGTGAATAAAACGAGTTTTTTATTGTTTTGTTTTTTTTTTTTTTGACATTAAAAGAATGACAATAACCCACAAAAATTATTTTTCAAAACAAACTTTTATCTTTTCCTTTTATTGAATTGTTTTTATAGAAATAACATTTAACGTTTATTAAGAATGTAAAGTTATGCAACATAATGAAATATTAGGGGAGAAAAATTTAATTTTATAAGTTAATAAATTTTCCAAGTTTATAATTTATTTCAAAGCTCATGTTAATATTCAATTTTAATTTAGGTCAAGTTTGGAAAATTGTACCCTGTGACCCCCTCCTCCTTTTTAATTATACTAGACTAATTAATAAATTTAATCAACTTTTTTGAGCATATATAAAGTTTATAATATATTACAATATTACAAGAAAGTGGTTCTTTCAATTTATTCTCAATTTTTGATAACAAAAATTTTTAATGTTTTTTGCGAATAATAATTGAATGAATATATTAGAGGTCCATATTTTATATATAGCTATAACTGTAGGATACGAAAATGACAATTTCAATTTCCAGAAATGGCGGATTAATGTCCCTTTAAAAGTTATAGATCATCATAGATATTATTAAAGTGTGTATAAATGGTATAACTATATCCGTCATCGATTTGTCTAAACATGCAAATATATATATTTATATGTGTTATATATATATATATTACATATTGTGTATATATGTACATATAAAATACAAAAAAGTATTTGATTTATATAGATGCGAATAAACCAACCCCGATATTCTGTTGCTTAGGATTATGAGATTCCATAGAGAACTGTGGTAATTATTCGAGTAAAACCCCTCTTTATTTTTTCCTGGAGTTGGCAACACTGGCTCGAATATTCTCCGGGCGCGGATTCCGCTTCTCTCTCTCTCTCTCTCTTTCTCTCTCGCATCCCCTTTGAGGGAGCCAGGCTCTCGTTGAGAGGTGGTTTACGCATGCGCAAGTAGTGTCTCGATTTTTGAAGGAAGGGGAGTGAATGATGGTGAGGGATGCAGTGGGGGGGAAAGGTGAATATTTTGGAGAAGGGGTAAAACAGTGGTAGGGGATATGTTAGTAGAGAAGGTACACGTTGTGTCAGCCGGCAGTAGCAAAAGCCGTGCTACACGGCCTATGGCCCATCGTGGGTCGTCCTCCGCCTTTTAAAAAGAAATAATCGGCGCCGCGATATGTCGAAAAATCAGTGGTACCCTCTTATAAATTCAAGGGTGCGCCAAACTTTCTGGCTCATCCATCATAAATCCACGACAATTCGAAATATTAAAATTCAAAGACGGTATTATAATAAAATAAATAAATAATGATTATAGATGAAAAATAAAAAAGGAATTTTTAAACACAGAATGTGAATGTGTTGTGAACCTCGATATTGTCGAGGGTTGTGTGACGCCTTTAAATCGCCACTGCTGCCATGTATTAACGCCACTGTTACACCTTGTATTTCTGAAAATCTCCATTTATTTCTGTTTTTAATTTTACCTCTTCTCTTTTACTTACATTCTTTGTTGTAAAAATTTTCCACTTTTTTTTATTGTTTTAAATTTGTGTTTGTTTTTATTTTATTTCACCTTAATTGTAATTAACTTTTTTTTTATTTCATAATTTCTACTCTTTCCTACTATTATTTTTTTTATCTTACTACTCTTTTTGTTCTCCTACGATTTTGAAAGTACTTTATATTTTTTACTTTACTATTTTATACCTTTCTTTACCTTTCTTATTTGTTTACTATTCTTACCATAATGTGTATTTTTTTACCCCTATATTTTTAAATCTATTTTTAAATCTATTTTTACCTATTTTTAACTCACCTACTATTTTTACCCCTTTTTCCATTTTTTGGATTTCCTTTTTTTTCCTTTAAATTATTTACCACTTTCCTACTATTTTTACCTTTTTCAGCTTTTCTAACTCTTTTAATATTTTTACCTTTCTACTTCATTCTTTACTATTTCTTACTTTGTCTCAATTATTATTTTACTATTATTTTTTACATTATTATTCTTCTCTTCCTACTAATTTTTAGTATTCTACTATTTTTCTTTCATTTTTACAGTCTATTATTATTTATCCAAGTTTGAAATCAAAATTTTTTTCGAGGGATAGTCTATGGTTAAAATAAAAATATAAATATCAATATAAAAATTTCGGGGGGGCCAGGGCCCCCTGGGCCCCCCCTCTAGCTACGTGCCTGCTTCCTAGTACAATTTTTTACTTTCAGTTTTTCTTTTATATTTTAGTTTCTTGCTATTTTTTACATTCTAATTATCTTTACCTTTCTTTTATTTTTAGCTTTCCTACTATTTTTACCTTTCTTACATTTTTTACTTCCCTAATATTTTTAAATTTTTTTAACTAATTTCTTTTTCCTTTTATTTCTTACTTTCTTATTATTTTTACTTTCTATTTTTACCTTCCCTACTACTTTTACATTTCTTACATTTTTTACTTTCCTACTATTTTTGATGTTGAACTATTTTTATCCTTCTTTTATTTCTTACTTTCATATGATTTTCACCTCCTGTTTTTACCTTCCCTACTATTTTTACCTTTCTCATATTGTTTACTTTCCGACTATTTTTAATGTTTAACTATTTTAATCCTCCTTTTATTTCTTACTTTCCAGTGATTTTTACCCTTTATTTTTACTTTCCTACTATTTTGTACCCTTCTTCTATTTCATTACTTTCCTACTATTTTTACCTCTCTTCAATTTTTTGCTTTCCTTTTCTTCCCTCAATTTTTACATTCCTACTACTTTTTACTTTCTAACTATTTTGCTCTTCTTCTATTTTTTACTTTTCTATTCTTTTTACCAGTTCTTTTTTAACTTCCCTACTATTTTTATCTTTGTTGTATAAAAAATGGAAGAAAGGTAAAAATAGTTTGAAGAAAGTAAATATAAAAATATTTCCCACTATTTTTTATCTTTATTGCATAAAAAATGGAAGAAAGGTAAAAATAGTACAGAAGTAAATATAGAAATTTTTTTTTACTTTCTTACAATTTTTTTAAGTATTCACTATTTTTATCACAATTATTAAAAAATAGCGTCGCAAATTACCATGTAAAAATAATGTTTTTGTGTTTTTGACACTTAACGTTTTCAATTTGACCGACAATTTTTATGACAATGGGAGTAAAATGACTTTAAAATTGAGATACTTTTTTTCTCTGCAGTTTTTTTTTCTTCTCTTTTACTTCTATTTTCACAAAATGTGTTGTTTCCTTCCATAAATTAAAAAAAAATCAATATTCCAAATGGAGAGAACGATCAAAAGAAACCAATATTCTAAATGGTCTTTTACTTTTTATTTTTTCCTTTACAACTATTTTATTTATTTCTCCTTTTTTTTCTTTTTTTAAATTCCACGTTTATTTCCCCTTTATTATATACCTTGCCAGACATTTTTTTTTATTTTTCTTCTCTCCAGATCTGTTCGATTTTAAATTTATCTTATCTTTTAGAAGATTCTAATATATATTGTGGATTTTATTTTACTTTCGAAATTTTTTCATTTTACTGTTTTCCTTCTGTTATAAACTTGAGGTATTATTTTTTAATTTTTACGAAAAATAACTTTTTTTTTACTTTTATTTTTGGGAATACATACACAAATTGTGCGAAAATCCGTCATAATTTGCAATTCTTGAATTAAACATTTATTGACAGGAGTTAAATTTCAAATAGTCACGTGCATGGGGTGAATTGTGTTTGTCGGTTTATAAATAGAGAAGCAACAATTTTATTCATGACACGCGGATATTAAAGCTTTGCATTTTACGATCGCCGGGTCGAGAACCGGGCGCGTCGTGTATACCTTCGATCTCATATAGTCTGCCAAACGCGCCGGATTGTTAGACGAAAAGCCCTCTATAATCCAGAAAGGAGAGTGGTTTTCTTTCTCTCTCTCTCACTTTTTTCTTCTTCTCTTTCGTTTTCCAGTTATTGTCCGGGAAAAACTGTTACTCAAATACGCCGAGTGAAAAATGACGAATCTCATTAAGAAAGAGAGTTTCTGCATTTTTATATTTGGAATTGAAAGAAAATTTTTTTTTACCACGCTGTAAGAATTTTTTTTTATATTTTATTTTTAAATATAAATTTTGTACACTATATTCAAATTTTTGTATTTATTTGTTATTTACATAGTAATAATTAATTTCTTTTGTATATTTTATTCAAATGTTAGTAGGTACTTATTTTTTAATTACATAGTGATGATTAATTTTTTTTTATATTTCATTTTTATATATTTTTTTTGTATTTTATTAAACATTTTGTATTTATTTTTTATTCGTAGAGTGATAATTTTTTTTTATTTGAGAGTAATTTTTTTTTGTTCACATTTCAGGGAAAATTTAATTAATTCTTTATAGGGGACAGCTATGTTTGCCCTTTGAATTTTGGATAATTAATATTAGAAATCAATTTTGATTGGAAAGGGTATAATCCTTTGATAAATATCTATCGATTCTCATGTTAATAGAAAATTACTTATTCAGTTTACTGATTTAACGAATGCATGTGGATCAAAAATAAGCAAAAAGATAATGGGAAAAACAAAAAAAATATTTTGACACCAATTATTTGAAGAGAAAATATTAATTTAAAGAAACAAAATTTTTAGATTCCTAATTTTTTATATTTCTATAATTAATATTATTTGATTACTCTCATTTTGCATTATTTGCTTAACTGTAATTTTTTTTGTTATTCGAAAAAAAAATAAAAATAAAAGAAAATTATTTATTTATTTATCACTAATTTGTTATTCTATTTTTTATTTATAAAAATTGTTAATTTCTTATTTATTTTTTTACTTTTGAATTTTTTTTGTTTTTCTAAAGTTTGTTTCACTGAAAAAATATTTATTTCATTCAAATAACCGATTACTTGATTATTATCAATTAAATATTTACTTAAATCAAATATAATTTTTATTTTATTCAATTAAATTATATTTGAATTAATCATTTCAGTATTTGAAGAAAATATCAGTATTTAAAGCAAATACCTACCATTTAATTGATTGAAAGAAAAATTATATTTGATTCAAGTAAATATTTAATTGGATAATAGTAAAGTAATCGGTTATTTGAATCAAATAAATTTTTTCCAGTGTATTTTATTTTTACCATTCATTACTTATTTTTATTTTCTTTTGTTATTAATTAATTAAAAATTAATAATTTTCTTCATTTATAATTTTTTACTTTCTCTTACATTGTTTTCTCAAATTTATTTTGATTTTTATCTGCTAAAGTATTATTTGCCAAATTAGAAAAAAGAACAAAAAAGTATAATTTATTTTTTTTACACTTTTTTCCATTTAGAAAATTAAATTTTTTTAAAATTATTCGCTAAATTAGAAAAAGGACAAAAAAATAATCAATGAGAGAAATAAATGCAGGAATGAAAGTAAAATATTGTATAAAATACGTTTATTTTAAAATTTGTATAATTTAAATCAATCGGAAGCGGGAAAATTTGTTATTGCACTTTTTGTGATTAAATGAAGCGATTGAATTAATTAAAATAAATAAACAAATCGAATTTAAATAAACAAAAATACTTTTTGGGATAATAATTATTTTTGGTTCTTTATAATCGATAAACATAATTTTAAAAAAATGTCAAGGTGTGTGCACGTGAGTGAAAGTTGAAATTAAATTTTTTACACTAATTAATTTTTACTTTTAATTTTTTTTACAATTTTTACTTTTTAAAAAATTTTTTATTAAAAATAATTTTTCAAATATGAATAGTTTTTCTAACACTGTATTTGCTTCTTTTCCCCTCTGATCAAGATGAATACAGAGAGTATAAATATTTACTTTTCAATTTTCACGATTGTTTGAATAGAAATCAAATAGTTATTCAAGTTTACATAACTAAACTGAAAAAAATGATTAAAAACGATTCTGATTCAGGATTTTTAGTTACATTTTTTCCCTCGAGAGAATACTATTTTTTTTAGGAGAAAAAAATAGTTTATTTTTTTTAGATGTCGCGGTTTACGAATGACGGAAAGCGATAAGCGCATCGAAATTCTCGTTCGGTGGATTTTCATTTGAATTCTGCGACTAATCGAGCAAGCAGACTGGCTTAAAACAAAACGAGAACGCAATGGAAACAAAGCGTTTAAATACAGAGTAAAAGCAGTGTGGCAGTAGTGTAGTAGTAACACTAGTAGTGGTGGTGATTTTTCATTCCCCTTGGCGAAGCAAAACCCTTGATAAAAAAGAGTTTTCGATTTTTTTTCTCATCAAATTTTTTTTTTTTTTTTTTTTTTCTCTCTTTTTCAGAAAAAGGAAAATAGATTTATATTGTACTGCTCTTAGAACATATTCTCTATAGTGGAGTTTGCCTGTTGACCACGGTATGCAAAGGGTGAACAACCCCTATCGCGTTTCAGTGTTTCCGTAGTGGCTTACGACGACCTAAATCTTAGAAGAAATGAAGGAGACGGTGCAGATTAAGTTTAAGGGAGCTTAAATAACGAGTGCTGTGTGATTAAAAAAAAAAGGGAAGAAAAAAAGTGTCGCTTTAATCGTTCATTAATTTCACGGATCTTGTGGCCTAAGAAATTTCTAGCAGTGAAATTTTTAAGTATACAACAACGGAATACTAAAAGTGAAATTTATCCTTAAATTTTCAAGCTCAAAGTTTTTACTTTGAATTTAAATTTAAATGCTAATTGTGGTGTTCTGAAAAAAAGTTAAATATATCTGCATGTTTTTTCCAAAAAAAAAAAAAAAATTTGTCTATAATCGTGCCGTGTCAAGATTGTTCAACGACCAACCGAATACTGTCAATTACTATTCATATATTAATCGTTCAAGTTTTAATCGTTAAATTTTCATAGATGTTTACTAAGAATTAAAAGAAAAAAAAAACAAAGTCATTCGATACAATAGTGAATAAGGATCAAAGTGGGATTTGGCCTACATTAGTGTTTCTCTTTGGAAAATCATCAACTATTGTACCTGGTTCTTCTTCTCTATATTGATGTTTTTGTCCTATATTTGATAATTAAGAAAAGTATCAATTGTTCCATCGTTGACTGTTTATTAAGGTAAGAGAATGTAATAACAATTTTTAACTCAAAAAAAAAAAACTGGACAGTTTCCATGAAATTACTTTCGGTTAGGAATTTTCTCTCTGTATTTATAAACTTTGCAAATTGAATCGATTCCTTTTTCTCTACAAAATCTCCTTTTTGTTGAATTCTCATTGAATTCTCTTTTTAATGGAAAATTGAAAACATTTACGCTCTATGAAAAGGAACTTGGAAAACTTTTCCTGTATAAACAATTTTTACTTTTTCAGTTTTCAGAAAAAATCTTTTTTTTAAATTGAGAACAAGATGAATATTTTAATAAATATTCTATTTGGAAGATGTAAAATTCGTAAACTATTGGTTATACTTTTCGAAGTATTTTGACGAGAACATTTGAAACATGAATTTCAAATTTTATTCTATTTACAGAAATTACGGAAATGTTTGTTTGGAACAAAAATTTTATACCATTTCGTTAAAGTATAAAAGTTTATCTGTATTTCTGATATATGCTAATTTGATCAATTTTTTTAATGAAAATACTTGTGCTAGTTGTCATTTTACGCAAAACTTTATAACCCTTTTAATGGTCCATCGTAAACTTTTTTTTTTTTTTTTGCTTTGCAACTTGTGGAGAAAAATTAACATCTGGTAGAACATGTTTTCAACATCCTTAATGGATTAACAATTCGGTTTGCAACTGGTACGTTTTATGACATCTTGGAATTAATTATTTGTTAAGTTCCTTGCTCTGTTTTTAAAGAGGAGAATCAAAACTTTATTATAACCATAAATTGCAAAATTTTCATCTTAAATATATAGTTATAATAGTAGAATTCACCGAAGCGAAGTTGTATAATGAAAATTAGTGAAAGTCCGAAACTTGGTTGGTCTTTCGGATATATGCTAATTCGAGCATTATTTGATAAAACTACTTTAACTAGTTGTCATTTTAAAGCAGAATTTAATAAGCTTTCTGATGGTCCTTACTAAACTTATTTAGCTTCTTAACTTGTCTTGAAAATCGATCTTTTATCGTAGAAGTTATAGTTATGATTATTTTCAGTTAATTTACATTTTTTTCGGTCGTTACATTTCATTATAATCAGTTAACAATTGAACATTATTTCCTGGTGCTTTTCGAAAGAAAAATATAAATTTCCATTTTGTTCCCAACTACATTTTGTAGTTCACTGAATTAATTTTGATTAATGCAAAAAAATAGACCCTTCTTTCCGATTTATGGTAATTTGGTCGATTTTTAACGAAATTACTCCAATTAAAAGGAATTTTACACCGAATTTTATAACTCTTCTGATAGTCCAGAATAAACCCATTTTGCTTTTTAGCTTGTCAAGAAAATCGATGTTGTAATGAAGCGAGTTATCGTTTATGCTGATTTTCAGTTTTACAATTTTTGTCTGCAGTTATTTACTGTGATTTGGAAAAAGTCCAATATCTGTTTTGCTGTTTAAATGGAAATTCAAAACTTAATTATAAAGTGGATTGTAATTTTTCTCCTAGTAATGTTCTGTCATTCTGTGTAGCGTTCAACGAATTAAAATCGAATGATGTCAAAATATTGAAAGTACAAAATTTGTCTCCTTTTTTCTTGAATACACTAATTCTATTATTTTTTTTAACGAAATCACTTCAAATAGGTGCCATTTTATGCGAAATTTCATAAACTTTCTGATGGCCCACAGAAAACCCTTTTTGCTTCTCAACTAAAGTCAAATAATGCAAAATTACTGAAATAACTCTAAAATTTTTCTCTATTTTTGTGGTATACGGTAATTCGGTCAATTTTTAGCAAAATTAGTACAACTATATGCGACATTTTACACGGGATTTTATAACCTTCCTGATGCTCCAGAGTAAACATCGTTAACTTTTGACGTTTTCCAGAAAATCGTTTATTTGTCACAACAAATTTCTGCCATCATTCTTTTCCATCGATTGACAATTCTACTTTATGTTTTTATTTCCTTACTTTGAAAACAATTTGATATTTTTCAAGTTTCTTGATCTTTTTACACAATAGATTCTAAACTTTACTATATAGGTGAATTAAAATTGTCCTCGCAACTCAGGCCTGGGATATTATGACTTTTTCGACTATTTTAAATTAATGCGACTTTTATCCATTTATATTAAAAAATTGCGACTTTTTCGACTTTTCTTCCAAATTTTGCAACAAAATACCATATTTTCAGTATAAAATGCAACTTATTTCTATTTTTACAGCGTGAAAAGTATAACTATAGAAAAATCTTTGAAAAGTTATTTTTTAATAATTTTTCTAATTAAATTTTTGAAATATACAATTAAAAAGATTTTGAATAATTGAAATTTGGTAAAATTTCAATTGAAAATAAATTGAAAATAATAAATAATTGAAATAATAATAAATAAGAAATAATTGAAAATAAATCATTTTTTTCACGTATTTTATTACAATTTTTGAAAAAAAATAACTTTTAAAGAATTTACATTGAAAATTTTGGAAATTATTGAATTCTCAAAAATTTTAATGAAAAATCTTCAAAGTGGAAATTTAATAAAAATTAATGAAAATTAGGTTATAAAAATAATTTTTAAATATTTTTGAATAAACTAATTCTGAGAATTTTTTCATTATAATTTTTTGAAATTCAATTTTTTTCAATATAAAATTCTTCAACAATTAATTAGTTTTTTTTAAATTACACAAAAAATTCTTTTTAGAAATTCAATTATTTTCGAAAAATTACAATACATTCAATTATTATTTTTAAAAGATTATACCCAATTTTTGGACATATTTTAATTGAATGTAATTGTAAAAATATTGTCTTTCAAAGGGAGGTGATCACTTTTTCTAAAAAATATTTTCTTATCCTTTTTGTCTAAAAAAGTGATTTCTAATGAAATATATTTTCTAAAAAAGTTTTTCTAACAAGTTTTGATTTCTAAAAAACGTTATTCTAAAAACTTATGATTTCTAATATATTTAATTTTCTCAAATTTTTGAAATTCTATAATGTTGATAAATGTTAGAAAATTGTTAAAAAATTAAGATTAGAAAATAGAAACTATTTTGCATATCTTCTGCTTTTCAATCACAATTTTGTTCACAAAAATAATTGCAAAATTATGAGTTTATTTTTGAAAAAGAAGAAAAATTTTATAAAATTCCTATTTCTTATCACAATATTTTTTAACAAAATTCTGTTCTTCTTTGAAAAAAATAAATAATAATTTGCTTCATTTTTATACCAAAATTTCCAAAATTAATATTTCTATAAAACATTATTTTAGAAAATTTTAAATATCTTTAGAAAAAAATCACTATAATTTCTATTTGTTAATTACAATTTTTAACTATAGATTACTTAAAAATTTTTTTAACAAATTTTGCATAATTTCTATTTTTTTTACAATTTTGTAACGAAATCTCAAGTATTTTTTTTAAAGAATTAAAAAAATTTTATAATTTTTTTTTAAACGCATATACATAAATTGATCATCATTACTAAAATAGAATATTGTTAGAAAACAAATTTGAAAATTACTTTCATTAGGAAAAGAAATTTTTAGAAGATGACCGTTATTAGAAGAAAGAAAATTAGAAAATCACCTTCATTAGAAAAAAGTTTCTTAGAAATCCACCTTTATTAGAAAAAATAGTTTTCAAAAATAAAAAATTGGAAAATACATTTTAGAAAAACTGTACCTCAACCTCTTCCAAAAATTATTTAGAAACATTTAAAAAAAATTAATTTTAAGAATTTCTTTATTAAAATTTTTGAAAATACATATTCTACCTTAATAACTTTAAAAAGAGATATGGACAGTTTCAATTATTATGAAAAATTGAATTTTTTTGTATTGAAATAATTGAATTCTCTAAAGAACTTTCGGAAAATTATTAAAAATTAATATGAATAATAATTGATTTAGGAGATGTTATTTAGTTTAAAATTGTAGAAAATAGAATTTTGCAAGGGTTATAGTTGTAATTTTTAGAAATTAATAAATTTATAAATTTCAGAAGTTGCAATTTTTTTAATTTTAAGTTTCCTGAAAAAAGAAATAAGAAGTATTTAAATATTTATTTAGCAAAATTATTCGAGTGTAAATTTTCGAATTTAGAAATCAGTGAAGAATTAGGGAAATTTTTATTGTGACAACACTCAAAGAAATAAACGACTTTTTCGACTTTTTTTTCTATTTTTAATTGACTTTTTTGGTTCGTTAAAGTCGATCCGAGCACTGCGACTAAATTTACAGCATATAATAAAGTGCAAAATTTGTTTAGAAAAGCTTAGGACAATTCAAAACTTGTTCGGTACTGCTGTACATATAAGTCAACTTGGTTATAATATAATTTAATGAAAATACTCGTGATTTTCCACAAAATAGAAACATTTACTAAACATTTACTAAAAAATTACAAGGATTTACAAAAAAAAGGGTAAATTACAAAGATTTTTAGTAAATGTTTATATTTTTTTTATTTTCCTAGAGGAAAGCACAAATGCAGTCATATTTTCAAACACTCACTTTAACGGATATTTAATATTCACTGTAGATTAAAAAGTTTTTATGCATGTCGCATAATAAAACAGTCTTAAACGAAGTTTTATTATCTTTTCAAATTTAGTGTTATGTATACATTTGTCATAGAGTAGGTTAAAATATTAATTCAGGTAAGAAATGTGACACAAATTGTCGCCGATCGAAAATGCGTAAATCTAAATTAAACGGTGATAGTGATATTAAATAAATGTATAATATTTATATTTTAATAATTAAAATTTAACGATCCTTACGAGTCAATAAAAAAAGAGTCAAATTATTGACTCGTAATGATCGTTAAATTTTAATTATTAAAATAACTAATACGAACGAGTGATAAAGTCATATTACTATTTATAATATTTATAGTTAAGCTATTGCTATAAGTGAGGTATAAATTATTTAAGAGACTAGTAATTTTCTTATTGCCTTTTGTGTTAGGAAAATGTAAAAGT